AGGAGGAGACACCAGGAGGCCAATCAGGAGGAGACAGCCACGAGGACACAGCAAGGAGAGACATGAGGAGGAGACAATCAGGGAGGACACAATCAGGAGGACACAGCCACGAGGACACAGCGAAGAGGAGACAATCAGGAGAGGCTACAATCAGGAGGACACAGCCATGGAGACACAGCAAGGAGACACAGCGAGGAGGAGACAATCAGGAGGCCAAATCAGAGGACAGCACGAGGACACAGCAAGGAGACACAGCGAGGAGGAGACAATCAGAGGCCACAATCAGGAGGACACAGCCAGGAGACACAGCAAGGAGACACAGCGAGAGGAGACAATCAGGAGGCCACAATCAGGAGGACACAGCCACGAGGACAGCAAGGAGACACAGCGAGGAGGAGACAATCAGGAGGCACAATCAGGAGGACACAGCCACGAGGACACAGCAAGGAGACACAGCGAGGGAGGAGACAACAGGAGGCCACAATGAGGAGACAGACATGAGGACACAGCAAGGAGACACAGCGAGAGGAGACAATCAGGAGGCCACACCAGGAGGAGACAGCATGGAGACACAGCAGGGAGACACAAGGAGAGAGCAATCAGGAGGCCACAATCAGGAGGACACAGCCATGGAGACACAGCAGAGAGAGACACAAGAGGAGGAGACAATCAGAGGCACCAGGAGGACACAGCCACGAGGACACAGCAAGGAGACACAGCGGAGACACAATCAGGAGGGACACAGCCACGAGGACACACAGCAAGGAGACACAACGGGAGGAGACAATCAGAGGCCACAATCAGAGGACAGGCCACGAGGACACAGGGAGACACAGCGAGGAGGGGACAATCAGGAGGCCACAATCAGAGGACACAGCCATGGGAGACACAGCAGGAGAGACACGAGGGAGGAGACAATCAGGAGGCCACAACAGGAGGACACAGCCACGAGACACAGCAAGGAGACACAGCGAGGGAGGAGACAATCAGGAGGCCACAATCAGGGGAGGACACAGCCATGGAGACACAGCGAGGAGACACAGCAGGGAGGAGACAATCAGGAGGCCGCAATCAGGAGGACACAGCCACGAGACACAGCAAGGAGACACAGCGAGGAGAGACAATCAGGAGGCCACAATCAGGAGGACACATGGAGACACAGCGAGGAGACACAGCGAGGAGGAGACAACAGGAGGCCACAATCAGGAGGACACAGCCAGGAGGACACAGCAAGGAGACACAGCGAGGAGGAGACAATCAGAGGCCACAACAGGGAGGACACAGCCACGAGGACACAGCAAGGAGACACAGCGAGGAGGAGACAATCAGGAGGCCACAACAGAGGACACAGCCATGGAAGACACAGCAAGGAGACACAGAGAGGGGAGACAATCAGGAGGCCACAACAGAGGACACAGCCACGAGGACACAGCAAGGAGACACAGGAGGAGGAGACAATCGGGAGGCCACAACAGGAGGACACAGCCACGAGGACACAGCGAGGAGACACAGCGAGGAGGAGACAATCAGGAGGCCACAATCGGAGGACACAGCTATGACACAGCAAGGGAGACACAGCGAGGAGGAGACAATCAGAGGCACAATCAGGAGGACACAGCACACAAGGACACAGCAAAGAGACACAGAGGAGGGGAGACAATCAGGGAGGCCACAATCAGGAGGACACAGCAAGGAGACACAGCAAGGAGACACACGAGGAGGAGACAACAGAGGCACCAGGGGAGGGGACACAGTAAGGAGACAAGGCAAGGAGACACAGCAGAGAGAGAGAACCAGGAGGCCACAATCAGGGAGGGACACAGCCACGAGACAAGGAGACACAGCGAGGGAGGAGACAATCAGAGGCCACAATCAGGGGAGGACACAGCACGAGGGGACAGCAAAGAGACACAGCGAGAGAGACAATGAGGCCACAATCAGGGAGAGACAGCCACGAGGACACAGCAAGGAGACACAGCGAGGAGGAGACAATCAGGAGGCCACAATCAGAGGACACAGCCACGAGGGACACAGCAAGGAGACACAAGCGAGGAGGAGACAATCAGGAGGCCACAATCAGGGAGGAACAGCCATGAGGACACAGCAAGGGAGACAGCGAGGAGGAGACAATCAGGGGAGGCCGCAATCAGGAGGACACAGCCACGAGGACACACAGCAAGGAGACAGCGAGGAGGAGATAATCAGGAGGCCACAATCAGGAGGAGACAGCCATGGAGACACACAGCAAGGAGACACAGCGAGGAGGAGACAACAGGAGGCCACAATCAGGGAGGACACAGCCATGGAGACACAGCAGGAGACACAGCGAGAGGAGACAATCAGGAGGCCACAATCAGGAGGACACAGCCACGAGGGGACACAGCGAGGAGACACAGCGAGGAGGAGACAGTCAGGAGGCCACAATCAGGAGGAGACAGCCATGGAGACACAGCAAGGAGACACAGCGAGAGGAGACAATGAGGCCAAGGCAAGAGAGACGCAGCAAGGAGACACAGCTCCACTTAATATGGGAGAGGCTAAGGAAGGTTTCTTGGTGAACAATATCCTAACTGACAGTGATGAAGCTGCGTTTTCCACGTGA